ACACATCCATGGATCATGAGTTCCATACCATGGCCACCTTCCTTGTAATTTCAGCTTTGGCCAAATCTCTGTACAATAATAAATCATTCTAACTTGGTCAAGGGTTTTAGTGGCTTCTTGAGAATCCCAATGGTCTAATAACCGTCCAAGTGGACTATCTAATGGAATACTCTTTATCTTCTTTTTTCCTTTGAAAGGGCTCCCTGTTTTACTAACACAGTGACCCGTCCTTAAGTAAATAAACTAAGATCCCAAATGTGCCCCTACCCAAATGGAAATTTACTGACAGGCAACACAAATCTACAAGTAAATCAAGTATTTTTCGTCTTTTTCAACTGAATAAATAACTTTAACTTAGGCCTTTCTTCTCCACTTGATTATAATTTATACCCTTTCTCTATCACTCTTCCTCTCACTTCCTCTCTCTCTTTTTACCCAGGTAGCTTCCTCACTTTTTTGAACGGAGGTAGGAAGGTTCCAGGAGACTCCGTGGGGTTACCCGGGGGTATCCCTTCCCAGAATCTGGGATCAACCCAAGTGGGGCCTGACCCCTTTGCCATCCACCATCTGGCTTGGCTGTCCCTCCCCACCAGAATAGCCTAGGTGAAAGGGATGTGTGCAAGAATGTGTGGTGCCTGTCCTTGCCTTAACCTAAAGACTCCCCACCCTCGTGCTCTTGGGCCGTGGGTTCACGATTTCCTCCCTGAAATCGCGGCATTGCACCACCTACAGTACATCTGGCCCAGTCCTGGAAAGCGAGGACCCTTGTGGGCACCTGGTACTGGCAGTGCCTGGGGGCACCCTGTGATGCGTGTGACTCACTCGATATCTAGGCACTCCACACGCCCGGACCTACCTAGACTGCAATGGTCTTACCAAGGGAGACCAGGCCCTGATGCGTGCCACTCACACCTGGCTATCTCCTGCACGCCCAGGAGGGGGCCCACACTATCCCCAGGAGACGCCTCACTCAACAGTACCTCTCGCTTCCCCCCGTTCCCGGCCGGCCCCCTCGCGGGAGTCCGGAACCGCGGTACTAGGGGGTCCTCACTCGCTTCGAGGGTCCGGGCTGCCGGCCCTCGTCTCACTCACACACCAATCGCACGCCTCCTACGCCCGCCGCCGGGATTACTTACTGCTCCGGCGCTCCTTGACGTCGCTGGTCCCAGGCTGATCTCTTGGGTCTGAGTAGCCAGCTGTCCTGGAGGTCCAGGGCAGGCGGCCGTCCCGTTCCTGGTGTCCTCTTCAGGAGTGGCTATCCTGGACGAGTCCCCCCCAACTGATATAAATCGGGCAGGAGATCTTTCTCCTTTTAATGCCTTTATTAAAGGATCAGCTCTGGGTGGGGGCCCGAGGGGTCGCGCACACCGCCACTGCTCCCGGTAGCGACGCAGAGGAGGAGGTGACGCAGTTTTGCTGCACAGCAGAACTGGGGCTTCCGTCCTCACGAGCGTGCCCAGGAAGTCCACTGTCTGGCCTGAAGTCTAGGGTCCTCACTTCAACTCTGTTCTGTTGAAATTACAGTGAGTTCTGAAACCTCACTAATTGAATAGGAGTACCTTTTGCCAGCAGAACCATTCACTTAGTTTCTTAAATTTTGGTTTAGTTTGTCGGTTTCAGGGTCTTTAGTTAGATTCCCTTGACTTCCCCTTGATTTGCATATTTCCCAGGGAGGTTTCCTCGGCGCCATTTTAGAGAGCAGTGGAGGCAGCACTTGACGGAGGTAACAAGGGTGGGTGTGAACTGCGGGGATTAACAGTGAAGGTAACTAACAGGTTCAACTTTGTAACAACAACTTTGCTTATTACAGCTTCAAATCAACAGTAACATTAGAGGTTTTACATTTTAACAACAACATAATTAACACACTTAACTTATTGAAACTTCAAGTTTAACAGTAACACTTTCAATGGCCTTAACTTATAAGATTGTCCATCACACCACAAGGCTGGACAACCAGAGCGGAGGGACGGACAGCCACTGCTGAGTGATGGAGAGCTGGTGCTGAGCTTCCGGGCCTGACCCGACCCTCCCCACATCCTTGCTCCTTAGGAAGCTCTCTCCATGCTGCAGCCTAAAGCAGCTGCAGCCCCTCACACCTCCCCTGGAGCCTCTGCCCCTCTGCCTGCCCCGTGCTGCCTTCCTGGCTCAGCCATCCCTGCTCCCGGCCCTGCTGTTGCCAGCCAGGGCTGTGTGCTGGCCCCTGCCTGCCTACCTGCTCCCTGCCCAGCTGCTGGAGCACTCTGGGCATTCCGGGCTGGCAGGGCCACGAGAAAGAGCAGCAGGAGGTAGTGGCTCAGAACCATGATCCACCCTGCTAGCAACACTCTACTGCTGCTGCTGCTGCTGCTGCTGCTGCTGCTGCTGCTGCTGCTGCTGCTGCTGCTGCTGCTGCTGCTGCTGCTGCTGCTGCTGCTGCTGCAGTGTTGGCCAGAGCGAGCACTGAAGAGCACAGTGGGGCTCTGGAACCTGACATCACGCTGGTCCCAGGCTGATCTCTTGGGTCCGAGTAGCCAGCTGTCCTGGAGGTCCAGGGCAGGTGGCCGTCCCGTTCCTGGTGTCCTCTTCAGGCGTGGCTATCCTGGACGAATCCCCAACTGAAATAAGTCGGGCAGGAGATCTTTCTCCTTTTTTAATGCCTTTATTAAAGGATCAGCTCTGGGTGGGGGCCCGAGGGGTCGCGCACACCGCCACTGCTCCCGGTAGCGATGCAGAGGAGGAGGTGACGCAGTTTTGCTGCACAGCAGAACTGGGGTTTCCGTCCTCATGAGTGTGCCTAGGAAGTCGACTGTCTGGCTCGAAGTCTAGCATCCTCACTCTGACTCTGTTCTGTTGAGGTTACAGTGATTTTTAAAACTTCACTAATTGAATAGGAGTACTTTT